ACTGTAACACGTGTTCAGATCCTTTTTACTGCAGCGCTGCAATGTATCTCTTTGCAGGGAGAGAGAAATATTTGATGAAGAAATCATAGAACGAAAAAAGTTGAAGACCAAACCAGCATCTGCAGACTGCGATTGAACAGCGAGACAAACGTTCCCCACTGACCCTGGCACTGGGTGTATATTACGCGGTGGTTACTTGCAAAAAATGTTTGATTCTTACTTTCTAAAGTCTGGGTGTCTATCTCCAAAAGCTGTCGCCGTTACAATGCCGTACTGCTGTCAGATATAGTCGTGGCATCAGTCCTTGCTCGTGATTCCACGTGCTGGCGCTGCACACTGCTGCCCTGCTCGTGCCGTGCTGACCTGCCTGTAAAAGCCGACGCAAACCGTGTCGGAACGCTGCGGCCGCCTCGGTCCTCGTCCCTTCAGTGCGCTCACCGGGGAACTTGCAAAAACCGCAAATGTTTTGCGGAGCTCCTTGATCTAACACTAAGTCCTGTGTGAATTATTTTGGCCAAATATCTGACGAGGGAAGGGCTGGTGAATGGTGTTGCCGTGTGTTGCCTTTCCTGCCACTGAGGGGACGCAGGTTTCCTCTCTGAAGATGTTTCCAGTGGGTCGCTGTTCTTGCTTTATGCATCTCTCAAAGTGTGGCAAATAAAACTGGTACCCAGTGATGAGTCTGGAGAAGAAAGGCTTGGGTTTTGTAGATAGGACGACTGTGAAACTCAGTGGAAAAGGAATCTGACGTTTGCTTAAACCCAAAGCCCATTCCCTTTGCTGTTTAGGAGTGAAACCATTTGGGGAGCTGGCCTGAGGCCATTATTTTAGGAAGGCTTTTAATGGTCTTTTTGTATCTGATTTGAATATCAAACGGAACCATGCCCCGTTCCCTCCCCCAGCTGAAGGTTGCCTTTGCCAGACTCGCAGCGTTATCGGTGGCTGTTGGGACAAAAGCCCAGGGGCTGGTATTTTTATGTATTGTAAGGAGAATGGGATCTCCTTCCTTGTCCAATAGCAACCACAAGGGTTTGGAACTGAGGACAAAGTTCAAATGTAAATGGGGATCCAGATGTGTTTTCTGGCTAGAGCAGTTATCTGGATCTATTTTAATTACACTTTTAATTACTCTGTAATTCAATATGCCTTTGGAATCCTTGTTCATGTTATCACAGGGCCCCTCACAGATACCTCCATCCTAGGAATATGTCGGGTATGTGCCTGGATTTTTCTTTATTCTTCATTAACTTGTGAGAAGGGCTAATACCTTTTCTGTGACAGGATAAAAATTGAAGGACAAATTGGTGGAGGTGACTGTGGAGCTGTGAGGGGCTCTGACAGCCTGCTGTGGTTTCAGAATGCCGGAGCTGCCAGCCCCGAACCCAGGGGCTGCTTGTGGCGAGGCAGAGACTGGCCTCTCCTCAGCGCAATCACGTGTACGCTTCTCTGTTGCACTTCCTAACTGCTGTGACGAGCTTTCTGCAAATCGTTGTACAGAAGCAGAGCTCCCTCATCACCTATTAAAGTTGCACAAAGTGAACCATCAAAGGCTCGTTGTTACTTTTCTTTGACGCTCTCCTTTGTTCTGAATGCGAGTTGAGCTGCTTCCCCCTGGGTTTGACATCAGGTGAAGATTATTTTTGTATAGCAGAAAAACAGATGGGCTCATGTTCTAGTGTCATAGTATGAAACAGGCGTGAGTGCAAGGAAGCGAACTCCCGTTCTCTGCTCCCCTGCGTTACCAGAGCCGGGGCTCACACACCCTCTGCCCAGAGCAGCTGCACAGCACCACTTCCCATTTCAACCACCACACCCCCTCTGCCCGAGCTGCTGCCTCTGTTCCTGGGACATAAAACGCTGTGTGGGGAGGGGGCGATGCCTCACCGCTGCCTGCGAGCCC